GAACACTTTTCTGCTCTGTGACCTTGTGTGCAGGAGGTAGGTCTATGCATCCAGTCTGCTCTACAACTGGGGGTCCTGGAGACACAGCACCACCTTCGACAGGGCTATACCTGGGACAGAGGCGGCCACATTCCGCCCAGAAAGCCAGCGGTGAAGTAGGACTAGGAAGTCTGTGCCTGTGCACACTCCCTAACCCAAATCTCTCACTCCACATACAGAGGAGAAAACTTCGCTCACCTTAGGAGTGGCAGAAAATCAAGTATCTTTAACAGCTGTGGCAATGGGAGCCCATTATTTACAGTGACCAAACTCACTTGTAAATGTTCATTAACAAAAATAGCACTGACTCAAAATAAAAGACCTGGCACTTTACACGAAGCATCTCAGCCAGTCTCAAACTATTTTGATGGGACATGCTGGGACACCCCCTTTCAAAAATTAGCAAAGCACAGCCCTCAGAGGCAGCTAACATGCTATAGTCTCACAGCCTAGAACGAAGGGCCTCTGAGGATGCAACCAAGTCAATATACAGCAGCTGGAGGGCAGGCAAGGGTCAGGAAAGGGAGATGTCATAGAGAAGGGGAGGTGTGTAGAAACCATGCCTATACTGCAGGGACTAATACACTCAGCGGCTGGCTGAAAACCACCCTCCCCATACACACCCATATATACACGCATCCACATACATGCACACACACACAGAGCTGTGAATCCAACATGGCAGGCCAGGACAATCACCAAACAAAATCGTGTCACTGGTCCCTTGCTCTATCCCTATCTACCAAAAATTTCTCCCAAATAATTCTACAAAATGAACATCCTCTGCCTTATAGCTGTGAAGCTTTCTTTTGTTTTTGATGTTCTCACTTGGTCAATACTCACACAGCAAGCCCTAGATTAGCCCAACACTGTCCACTCCTCTGCTCAGCAGCCACAGGTAGGTAGGTAACTGATAGCACAAGTGACCAACACTTCTATCCCTGGAGAAATTCCCGGGGCAGCACTAGGCCCAGAAGTCACACGAGAGTAAGAAACACAGGAATTCGGGTCCTCAGAAAGCCCACAGTGTGTGGACCACAGCTTCTCCTCACAAAACAGCTTGACAGTCTATGGAAATAGTCTCTACAAACAAGGCAGGTGGGATCGATGGAGGAAAAACCTTTGCTCTCAGAGAGCAGGCTGGAAGATGAGGACCCTGTTTCCATCTAAACAACCAGAAGCGGGGTGCAGACTCACACTGGATGGAAGCCTGGAGTTGGGACCATGGTCTGTCAATTCCCACAGCACAGCATTAGGTCACCAGTTAAGTGTCCCTGGCCGTTTCGGCTTGGGTTGAGCCACATCAAACAGTGATGTGGAAACAGTAACTCAATTCAGTTGGGACTCTGTGGGAGCCAGGACTGACTCATCACGGTTGTGGAATGCTGAGACAGATAATCCAGGCATCGGATGGGCTCCTGCCATGTTTTGGGCTGCCCAAAACCTGTGGGACGATCCTCATCGGACAGTCTGTGGGTGGCACAGCGGCGGCCTCATTGGCCGGTGCAGTTTCTGCTAACAGCTTGGACTCACTCTCCACTGAAGATGAGGAGAGGAGAGAAAGAAAGAGGAGACAAGGAAGGAGGAGTGGGGGTAGCAAGGCTGTAGCTCAGTGCTTATTGCTACCACAGAACTCACTCTGAAGGGCTTGTCTCTAAACACCTCCCAGACAAGAAGCAGCGGCTCTTGAAAAGGAAGGGTTTCTAAGTAAAGCCCTCTGCTCCCCAAATCAGCTGGTACTTAGGAGTTTTCTAAAACCTATGGGTTCATCAAAGTGCTCAGACTAAACACCATTTTAGAAGAAAGTCTCTAGAGTCTGTAATAAAGCTCTTGCCCTTCTGAGCCAGCTCCTCATGATGACACATGAGGACCACCGGCTCAAGCACTAAGGACCATGCCTCCTCCCGGCTACCCCACCCCATCAGGTGTCTCCCTGGCCTTCCTGGCTGAGAGTGGGCATCACTTCAACCTCCGGCTTTCAATCAGTAGGGATCGTGGTGCTCAGACGTGGACCCTGTGAAGCAGATACACAGACCCTGCAAGAGTCTGTGCTGACAGTGGGAAGGACTTTGTGCAGGAGCTGGTCCTCACCCCTCAGCATCTCACTCCTATGACAGCAGATGCTGAGCGTCAAATAGGACAGAGACACTGCGCCCTTCAAAGCTGGGTGGGTGAGCCTGAAACAGATGTGGAAACCACCTGTATAAGCCCACCAGCCAGTATCTTAAAGCCAAGTTGTTTACAGCTAAATCTATACCGAGAAGATTGTAAACAGATACAAGGGTGAATTCTCCATATAAAGCACTCATTGTTCCTCTACCTTCCCACACCCCACATAGGAGTCATTCTCTGGGTCCTGGCCTATCCTGTGGCCAATACACAAAGGCCATTCTGGGATGTTCTGGACACAAAGCACTGTTGAGAACTCAAGAATGAGGACCAGGCAAAGCCACCGAGCAACCACTCTCACTGCTGAAAATTCCAACTGTGAGGAGGACCAGACAACATGTGGGGAGCACCAACCCACACTCCAAGGAAAGGCCGGGCTCTGCTGCTTAGAGGATGCTGGTGACGAAGGCTGTAACCTGCTGGCCTGTGAACTACTGTCACTGCAGGACATGCTAAGTCAAAATCCTGCTCACCACGCAAGTCATCTCTCATTCCCACACCTGTGGAGTCAAGTAGACCCCGATGGCCAAATCCAAAGCACTGTTCTCAGCTTCCAGACAGCCCGCATGCAGTCAGGCCCAATATTTGCTGATATTCTCTCATCTAAGTGGTGCCTTTTAAGGTTTCAGGCTGTTCCCCTGACATGTGCAGCTGTGGGAGGCAGGAAGGTTCCAGGCAGTGGTCATCAGGGATGAAGGAAGCAAACGACTCCTGGAGGGCTGCTCTGGCTCTCTAAGCCAGATGGACAGCTGGCCTGGCCTTTACTTATTTTAAATGTTACATTTTCACATTCTCTCAATAAAACTCTTGGCTTCTGGGCATGGTGGTGCACGCCTACATAACTCTGACCCTTAGAAGGGTGAGACAGTAAGACTGCACAAGTTAAAGGCTAGCTTGTCCTACATAGAGAATTCTAGGCCAGCCAAGCCTGTCTCAAACATAAGGAGGACAGGTCAGTGCCCTTCCTCAGCTTCTTGCCTACCCCCAACCTTTCCAACTTCAAAGATCTGGGACTGCTTGGAGTGTGAGCCCCGAGTTCCAACCCACCAACCACTGGGCCCTGGGGCAAGAAACACACTGAGCCTGACACCAAACCCTACTTGAGAGACTCCTAGAGCCAGTGTGTTTCCTACTCTAGGGCCTGCTCACTAGACAAAACCCCCGACATGAAGAAGGGGAGGTGGGCACAAATGTCCACCTCTCACCAAGAAGGGTGACCAATAGCTGCTGGAAGAGGGAAAATCCATTTTCTCCAATGGAGTGATCCTGGGCCTGTCAACCGCACTCCAGGGCAGGCCTCAGTTGGCCAACACAATTGGATTTGTGTGTGTGTGTGTGTGTGTGTGTGTGTGTGTGTGTTTTGCTTTTTGTTTCTTGAGAGACAGAAGGAGCATGAAGTTGGTGAGGGAGCGTCCTGGGAATGGGCAGGGAAGGAGAATATGACCGAGATACTGCATGAAATGCTCAAAAACTAAACAAAAGAAAGAAACCCCCCAAATTAAAAACCTCTTGCCTGTTTAAATTCACCCAAATCCCTACTAATGACGCTAAGAAGTGTTTTCCAGGTCACAGCATCTGAAGATTGCTTTCAAGGCCTTAGAAGAGAAGGCTGAACAATTCTGTCTTCTCACCAGCCCCACGGACAGTTGCAAAGAGATGAATCCTGTGAACAAGCTCAGTGCTTGGAATCTGGTGCATCTGATGGGAGCACAGCTCAAGCCAATACCTAGACGACAGGCGGTGGGACCCTGAAACTTGGCGCTCAGGCTCATCAGCCTAGACTTCCGGCTCTCAGAACCTATGAGATGATAAATGTGTATCTTTTTTTTTTTTTTAAGTGAGAAGTCTTTAATTTCTCAAGTGACTCATCAGACATCAACCAACTGGCAGAATCTCAGTGGGGAGGGAACCAGTACACACCATCTGGAGTCCTACACTGTCTCTGTAACTCACGCCGTGGCTCGCTCCTCCTTCAGTCCATAGCAAGCCATAGGAAGCCAGCCGATGGTGGCTTCTGAGAGTGGGCCATGTGGCTCTGAAGGGCAGGCCTGCTCTCCCACCAGGAAAATCTCTGAGGCTTCTCCCAAGTGTGAGCTAGCTAATAAACTCTCCACACCACCATCTGTTCTGTTAGAAAATAACCTAGAAGAAGTTAGAAACAAATCTGTGCAGAAGAAATAGCAACCACAGACACCACGTACAGAGCCCGGGAAAACCTATCCGGCATCTTGGGAATGAAAAATTTCAAAGCAGCAGTATCTTCATTAATCTGAATACTAATCTTTCTTCCCACTAAGTCAGGCAGACCCCCTACCCTGACCAACAGAAAGGGACTTTGGACTGTATTAAGTATTTAACATGGGGCTATGAGGCCTGATTGTCTCATTCCACAAGACAAGGCTTTCCTGACTAGGCCATCTTCGATTTGCTTAACAATGGAACTGTTGCCTGGCTGGCTCCCTTGGACAGGCTTCAAGGAAGGATGGGGGGTGGGGGGGGGGGCGCGGGCTGGGACCTGTGCAAACCTGAAGCCTTACTAAGACATTTCCATCAGATGCTCTTCATGTGCACGGTAATTGCCCATCTAACTCAAAACCAGTCCCTTTCATCGCTTCTGGGGAAGTTTTACTACTCATTTGGCAAGTTTAAAAGGCTTTAGGCTTCAAATGCCTCGTGACAAAATGAAAACAGGGATACACGCATCACCAGTCACTCTTAAGACGACCAGGCCACAGTGGGGCTGGGACATCACGAACGCTGCCTCTGACTACAAACACTGGAAGCATAATTACCTGTTTCTCCCCACAACGTGTCGGTGCCGTTGACTTCGATTTCATGTTCCTCTGCCATTCCCAGCAAGGACTGGACTACCTGTCAGATGTGGCAAGGTGATTTAATGAGCTCTCAGAGCAATGGGTGCTGATTATAGCCCATATATCAAAGGAGAGAGTGGTGGGTTGTTTTTTTTTTTAACCATTATTATCTCGTGCTGCACAAGTGAAGAAAACATAATGAAAACCATTTCCTGGTATAATTCGTATGCTATTCACACTTTCACTGGGGAGAATTAAAAAAATACAACAATCTTAGGGAATTGCAGCAACTCTGCTCAGGATTACCAGGTACTCAGAATTCTAATGAATTCCAACATGACCCAAATATGCCAACGTAATCAACAAAGGGTCCAGCAGATCACATAAAGTGCAGCTTCTGCATAAATCACCATTAGACCATCCCTTCACGCGGGAAGAAAACAAGGTGATTTTTTTTTTTATGGTGAAAATTTTCTTTCAGTATCGTCTAGGCAATTTTTCTACTGACAGCACTATTCTTCTCCCTTCTGGGCATCCTCCTGTTAAAAAGCACAGCAGGTCCCAAGCTGGAGGCAAGAAAGCTTGCCCTTGGGGAGATGAAGTATCTGTGCCCTGGACCAGAGCCAGCATCATCCTGAGTGACAGGAGACTCGGACAAAGCCGTTTTCTAGGCTCCCAGTCCATACTGTTTACAGTATGCTGACTGGGTCCATTTCTAATCCGTGGAAGCTCCAAGCTCCGTAAATAGCAGGAGGAAACCACAGGCCTTGAACTGGAGCAATTCTGTAGGTGTACAGTCTGGGTGTAGAGTCTGCTGCATACCTGGTACAACCACAACATTCTCAGATTGGACAGGAGGCATCTGGGTGAGAGGAGGGGGTAAAGGGAGGAGCAGGGCAGCAAGGGAGGCTGCGTGCACTGAAGACTGGAGACGCAGTCTTAGCTAGGAAGGCAGCGGCTTCTAGAAGCTAGTAAAGCCATAAAGGCCCTCTCCAGAAGCCTTCAGAGAGAAGCCTGACCTCTTCTTATCTCAATTTTAGATTTCTGACCCCAAGACGGTGATTAAGTGTGTTCTGAACATTTGGCCATTTACTCTGATGGCATTAGGAAATTATATCCTCTTCAGGATCTTGATTAAGAAATCTAGCTCTTCTGCTTGAAATGGTTGTTGTGCTGCGGCAGGTTCTGCTCACTGTTCTCCAGGCAAGCTCCTGAGTGGAGCACATGACTTAAAAAAAAGAATCACTTCCAAACACGAGGCATGTGCACCACATGTGGGTGTACACCGCGTAAGGGGTGTGTACTGTGTAGGGGGTGTATATCATGGGTACATGTGTATCATGTGCAGGTGTGTATCATTTGTGGGTATGTACAACGTGTGGTGTATACCATGGACAGATGTGTATCATGTGTAGGTGTGCACCATGTGTGGGTGTGTATAATGTGTGGGTATCATGTGTGAGTATGCACCATGTGTATCACGTGTGGGTGTGTATGTGCTCATGACTTCCTAGAGATGACTGTTCCCATGTTGGAGCCACAGATTCAGACAGCTGGAGGAGGGGGAGCATGGTGGCTCATGGCTGTAATTCCAGCATTTGGGAGGTACAGGCAGGAATATACAGAGGTACAGAGACTAGGACAAAAACAAAGGGAAAATGCCTGTGTTTTCAGATATGTGTTTTAACACTATCATTTATGCATGCTAAATATTAGCCAGCCAGGAATACATGCTTCTATGTTTATCTGCCATCGTGTGTACATGCCAAATGCCAGCCAGCCGGCATGGCATTCAAATTTCAGTCATTTGGGGAAAAGACTTTTACCAAACACTGGCACCTCCAATTGCTCAAAGACAACAAAGAATGTGAAACACCAGCAAAACGGGAGCAAATGTTATTATGTTCGCAGCCAAGGCAGAGAACCAGGCCAGCTGATGATGATTAAATCTTCAAACTTAGAGCTGGTGACTTCCAGAAAGAAATGGAGTGTTGAATCTCTCCTTCCGTGTAGCAACTTCAAATCATGAGCATTCATTCTCACAGGCTCTTAAAGCACCCAAGCTTGATTTTTAAAAACCCTTCAAACACTCCAGAATGATTTCAGAACTAGGGTTTCATGTGATTGTAGTCTAAAGGTTATAGGGACAAAAGAAGGAACTGAAGGGGCCAGAGGGAAGAACCAGGTAAGGTAAGAGCAGACAGGAGAGGAAGTGAGAACCGGAGAGACTGAACACCCACCAGAGCTCTTGAGGAAAGCATTCTGCTCACCGTCCTGCTCACAGCAAGGACAGTGGCACTAGAAGCGCTTCATTAGTCAGTGTCAACAGCTACGTTCTGAAATCTCCATTTCCTTTTGTTGTCTGTGGCTCTCAACTTAAAAGGCTGTGACCAAACTGGGCTACAAAGCCTCATGTCTTAGGAAGGAACCCCAAAGCCCCACTCACCGAGCTGTGTCCCATGCTGGCGGCTGCTGTCAGTGCCTGCTGCAGGGCTTGGCTCTTCCTCAGGGTGCCAGGCTGGGGAGGGCCTGCCGACCACTCACAATTCAGTAGGTACTGGAGGATGTCACTGTGGCCCCTCAGGGCACTGTGGACGAGTGCACACTGGCCCTTCTTATCCAAATGGTCCACCTGGGGGCAGAAGCAAAGGCAAGCGTGAGCATCCATCTCCTTTACTCTGGGAACACATGTGTCCTGAAGGCTACATGCAAATTCATGCTACTGCACAAGAGCAAGAGCGAGGGCTCACACTCCCAACTTGTCTTTCTGGACAGCACTGAACCTGTGACTCCTTTCATTGTGATAAGAGCACTAACCAGGCCTTGGGCTCTCGTTGCAGGACTAGTAACCACAACACTGTCTCCTTATACAGGCATCTCTCAGCAAACTGCATGAAGCTCACAGACCGAATGCTCAGACAAAGCCTATGCTTCCCAGTAGGGTACGTAGATGGAGTATTTTCAGGCTGCTCTGAGATGTTGAGATGGGTGGAAGATTGGTCACTGAAGCAGATAGCCAAAGAAAGGAAAGGATCTATAGAATAGAACACAGATCTCTGGGAAGGACAGAAAGGAAAACACACAGGAAGGTGACCTGGGGCATCCTGGCTTATAAAGGAAAGACACCAAGCTGGGAGATGTCATCGAGTCAGAAGAAATGTGTGAGCGCCACATGCTTCCTAAAGGCCTGATGCTGGCAGGCACTCCTGAATTCCTTATCTAAGTGAAGGAGTCCCAGGACCAAGGAAAAGAACCCAAAAGCCCGGCTCTGACTTGTTTGCAAAATTAGGGGCATGCTGCCTCATGACTTGGACTCTGCAAGAGTCCCCAGTGTGACAGCAAGCCTCTTCCTGCAAGCTCTCAGATGTGACAGAGACAAACTGCTGGCCTCAGAAGAAAGCTAAGAGATACATGGTATCCAGAAATTGGGGCATGTGTCACATAGCAATAAGGTATGTACCCCAAACACCATAGCTGAGGTTCAGGTATCCCTAATGCTGGACTTAGAACAACATTTCTGTACCTACTATAAGCCTAAGTTAACTAACTAGGCAAAAGACAACTAACAGTGCTTTATCCACTGTTACTCAGCAGGCTCGTTTGCCTGTGAAATGCTTATATTAAACTTAAGAGGCTTGTGCTGAGTGTAACATCCATCTCACTTCATCTGAGAGCCTGGTGGTTCTACCCTAATGTGTCAACTAGCAGAGTTACCTAATGGTAACAGCAAGAGGTTGGTGGAAGGCTCACAGGGTCATGGGATTCCAAGAGACAGATGAGAATCGTGGCCTTCAAAGGTCCATTGTCCCAGGTGGGAAAAGGGAAGATGACGTTAGACAGCTCCCACAGCTCAAACACAGGACTTCTAAGAACCAGAGAACTCGAGGGATTGTTTTAAAACATAAAATGGAATCGGACAAGAAGGGGAAGATGGGGTGTGAGGTAATTCATTCAAATTATTTCACCAGGGCTAGCAAGACGGCTCAACAGGAAAAAGCGCTTACTGCCAGGTTTGATTCCCAGAACCCATGCAGTAGAAGGCAAGAACCAACTGCCTTCAGTGCATTGTTTTCTTGACTCCTCATAAGCAGCACGGCATATACATACATGCTCATGTGTACACACATGCAGCATACAATGTAGGAAAAAGACTTCTGAAACAAAATCTCCCAAACAATTGTGATGCCATGTTAGATTCTACAATAAATTCAGGATAGTGCAACACACGTGTATCTTCTCTAGTAGGAACTGCCCAAGTTCTTCCAAGTAATGGAAAACAGATCAAGTGGCTAATAGCCAAGACTCTGCCTCATACAACATCGAGCAAAGCAACAGCGTAGCATACACGGCTACCTGGGCTCCCACTCAGACACAGGGTCTTTTACACTGATTCTGTAATTTCTCAGATCACTGCACCTGACAAATTGAAGTCCGTGAAGCCTGGCCCAGGGGCATTTTCCACCCCTTCAGCCACCCTGTTGTCACCCTCCAGGTCAAACCCACTGCTGCTTACCCTTGCCCCCTTCTTGGTCAGCAGACACACCAGCTTCATGTGGCCGGCAGCAGCTGCATAGCACAGCGCGTTCATACCATTCTCTGACATCCCATCCAGGCAGGCACCAAACTCCAGAAGGAGAGTGACAACTTCCTCATGGCCAAGGTGAGATTGGACGCACAGGATGGGGGCGTTGTTTAACACTTCCGTTCTGTAGTTCACGTTGGCCCCTCCCAAAATCAGGAGCCGGCTCACCTGTTGGGCAATGTCCCCCAGCAAGATTAATATCTCATATGTATGTTAGTTTTAACACATCTGGGAAGCAGGAAGTATCTGCAACCTTCCGGTTTTATCCTACTGGATCTCAAGCTTGAGATGTACCAGCAGGAAATGCATGCATGAGTTCCCTACACCCTCGGGAAATGCATGCATGCTTATACATGCGCATCTTCACTAGGATGAACCTGCCAAGTTTCTCCAAATCATGGGAAACAGAACTGCATTGTGACGCAGCAAACCCACTTCCTGGACTGCATCCAAAATGAAAGCAGAATCCTCAAGAAATGAACACAACAGGTTCACATCAATACCACTCACCAAGCTAAGATGTGGAAGCCACCCCAGGGCCCACAAATGATGGGTGGGCAGGAATGGACATGCCACCAGTGGGGAACTCAGGCTTAGAAAGAAATTCAGAGATTAATATAAAATACATTAAATAAACAAAAAGACCAAGATCACATGACACTGTTAAGGATCTACCCAAAGTGATCACATGACACTATGAAGGCTGTAGCCACAGTGGTCACATGACACTATTAAGGATGTAGCCACAGTGATCACATGATACCATAAGGATGTAACCAAAGTGATCACATGACTCTATTAAGCATGTACCAAAGTGATCGAACAAGACATAAGTTGAGCGTAGCTCCCAGATCATGGACAGAGCGGAAACAAGAGTGTCTATTGGCTAGAGACTGACCAAATGAAAAGTTTTAGAGATTACAACATTAAATGTGAACATACTTCACTGCCCCGAACACTTAAAGATGGTTAAGGTGTTATATGTTCTATTATGGATTTTTGGTTCATCACAAGTGAAAACAAAATGTTTTCACGTGCACGGTACCCCCCTCCTCCCTTGTCACCTACACTGGGTGGTGCATTTTTTTTAAAGAAAATATTTATTTTGACTTTATATGTCTGGGTGTTTTGTCTGCATGTGTGTCTGTGCCATCACATGCATGTCTGATGCACACAGAAGTCAAAAGAGTGCATCAAGTCCCCTATCACCGGAGTTATGAATAGTTATGAACCACCACATGGGTGTTGGGAATTGAACCCAGGGACTTTACCAGAGGAACAAATGCTCTTAACCTCTGAGCCACCTCTCTAGCCCTTGGGTGGCAGATTTTTAACAGTGGTATTAATATAGGGGCTAGACCTGACCAGCCACCAAATAGAGAAAATTCACTATTTTAACAATGAAATAATAGCCAGGGATTAAATCCTTAATGAGACAAAGCCAAAAGGAAACACGAATAGTCTCTTTTCTCGACAAGGAGAAGATAAAGCGCAGCAGTGTCCGTGTGTCCTGAGGACCAGCAGCTCTGCACACTGACAGCATGTCCTCGGCTGCTCCCACTGACTGCCGCACACAGCACGGCCTTAGATGACAGGGGGCGTTTCTGATCTGTGCATATTAAAATGAAATCACTGAACAGATGGACATTTCTAGCCACACTAATCTCCTTCACATCTCCGGATTTTGAGGAAAACACCCACGGCGCTTTCACACCTAGCTGGTCCCTTTCAACAGCTCCAACCCACGGCCGTCCAACCCTGCCCTGGGAGATCCTAAGGGCTGGCCGCTAGATGAGGAAAATCTCAGAGACCTGTCATCGATTCGACTAGAGTCAATCGGGGATCATTAAAAGACACAGGAAGGAGATGGGTACATAAAAATTCTGGGTAGTTTAGTGCTTTGTTCATAGAGCAGCAGACAGAATATTTACAAATTATTACTAACAGTGGGGAAACTACTGTGGCATCGCCATAGGGCAGAACCTAAAGTATGAAATGTTCAGGTGTCTCCATGCTGTCTAAGCTTCAACTCCACAAGACGGTGATCCCCAGTGCTCTCTCTTACACTCTTTGCAGGGTCATCCCCTTAGTGCAGGTCCCCCTGGCCTCAGCAACTCTGAGCAGAACGTTTGTTCCACAGACAGCAAAGGCTGTGTCTTATGGGTCTCTAACAACAGACACCCAAAGTGAAGTCCCCACCCTACTTCATGATCGTTCCATTCATGCGTGGACTCCAAGCCCTCTCCATCCCTAACACGTTCTTGAATTCTTAGCTTACTGCATTAGATGTTGGACTGAAACAGAAGTTCATCTAGAAGAGATGCAAGAAAAAGCTCTTACGTAGTTAGGGACAGCACACACGCTGGGTCTTTCTCATCAGTGGGGTCAATATTTATCCACAAGGAATGGTAAGCCACACACTGTAATGAGGACACCCTGCCAAGTCACCTGGCCACCTGACCATCAGCCTGGCTGTTTACATCATTAGAAAGACTACAATCATTGTATGGCCAGGTCAACACCAACCCAGTCTCTTCAACTGTTAGTGAGCACTTAGAGCTCTGTGTGTGTGTGTGTGTGTGTGTGTGTGTGTATCTGTGTAAAACACAGAGGAAAAGGCACTCAGAAATGTGAGAATCTAGCAAACAAGCTGATTGATTCCTACAACACAGTGAAACAGGTTCACCGCTCCCTAGAACACCACTTGACTCAAGTACAACTACAGAGGTATTTCAAGTTTGAATAAAAACAAGGATTTAAAAAAAAGTCCCGGGCTGGAGAGATGGCTCAGCGGTTAAGAGCACTGACTGCTCTTCCAGAGGTCCTGAGTTCAAGTCCCAGCAACCACATGGTGGCTCACAACCATCCGTAATGAGATTGGATGCCCTCTTCTGGTGTGTCGGAAGACAGCGACAGTGTACTCATAAATAAATAAATCTTTAAAAAAAAAAAAAAAAAAAGTCCCTTTTGACTAACTATGATCAGTATGGAAAAAAACCAAACACCATTATGCTGAAGAAATACTTGGGTGTTTTAGAAAGGCCTCAGAAATCAGTTTGAAACAAGATGTACAGAGACAAATGGAGACTCCTCAGGACCACCACAGGACAAGCAGGAATAATGTGTGATGATTTTGCTGGCCAACTACATGTTCCCTCCCCGTCAGCCCATCCTTTCCTGATATACAAGAACCTAAGGGGGGAAAAAAGATAGGGTAAATGGTCTGCGTAAGTGGCTCTCAAAACAGTCTTCAGTTTTTTAGTGTTCCAGGTCCCTCTAGGAAGTGAACAGGGTCTCCCCTCTCTATTCAGCATGGTCTGTTTGGAAACCTTGGTGGAGGAGTGCATTCGGCCCTGTACTGGAGGAATACATTCGGCCCTGTACTGGAAAAGCGCATTCGGCCTTACGGCGTGGATCTAATGAGACTCTTGGAGAGTGTGCTCGGGGCTGAGGCTTTCTCACCTATTTACTCTTAGTCTGCTTTGGTGAAACATGTTTCTTTTGCTGCTGCTTTGCAGTATTCTCACCACTTAAACCCTGCCAATGTATATATCTTCCTTTGCTCACTGTTCTTAACTATGGGGCACACTTGATATCACCCAGAGCTTCAAAATTCCAGGTGCCTGGGTCCCAGCCTGGAGAATCAGACTTTCTAGGGCCTGGGGATCTGGCAACCCAGCTTCCCAAGAGAATGGGCTTGGCAGACAGGGCTGTAAAGATACCAGGTAACAAATGGGCCTGCAAGCTCAGAATCAGGTCTCTTGCCATCCTCTGTGTCCCAAAACCTCAGCTCCCCAGCTGAGAAAAATAGGAACAAATGCACCATTGCCTAGGTGACTGAAAAGATTAAAAGTGAATGTCAAAACAATAACACTCCCTTCCCTACCAAGGAGTGAGGGAGTCAGAGGAAAGGAAGGAAGGAGGGAGGGTGAAGGAAATAGAGAGACAGAGACTGACTTAGCACCACACCCAGGATTTCAAAAGATTTATATAAATATTAGTAGCTACTGTTGCCATCACCCTTTTGTGGAGTCTTCAGAGTGAGGTCCCTGGAGACCTATCTCCCACCTACACTGTCTTGCATGCACCCTATTCTCTCCACAGCACAGAGTGGCAGGCTGGAGGCCCTTACTTGAGTTACAACTACCTTCTCAAAGTTCCCAGGTGCCTGCAGCCTAGTATAGTCACAGTTTCCAGAGCCGAGAGGAGCAGCAATAAAAACAACTCACCTGGGCACATAAGACATGCCAGGCACTTTCCCAAGAGCTTTCGCTGCCAGCTTTCTGATCACTGGGAGACGGCGTCTTTTGTTGTCTCCATTTTAGAGGTGAGGACTCAGAGGCTCTGAGTGGGTAGGGCAAAGATAGCTCAGGACACAAAGCTAACTGCTGTCCCTGGAGCAGCGGGGACACAATGATTCATCCTATACAGTCCTGTCCATCTGCAGGAGACTTCACAGTCTTCACCACAGACACTCTCTTTAGCTAGCAGTCGGAAGTGGCAAGGCCACCTAGCAATGGAGACACAGAAGCACAGAAGGGTAGTGGAGCGTCCCCCCACAGTGAGGACCTGGAGAAGTGCCAGCCAGCTCAAGCTGGAGACCAGCACATTGGAGGCTTACAGAAGCGGGGACATTGAAAAGTGAGTTCTCCTTGATTGTGACTCGAAGTACAATCTCCCTGAGTCCAGCCAAGCAAAGTCAGGCCGTGTCGCTGCCTCATACCTGGGCTCCTCTCCTTCCAGCTGAACAAAACACCAGAAGCCAACCAAATGCTCCCAAATCTACAGGCAGGGGCTGGCACCAGCCATATTGACAATACTTGAGGAAACAACCAGCTGGGCAGGAGCTTGGAGGCTGGAGTGACAAGGATGCCAGTGCAGGCACATGGCTGACATGACCCTGGCCCAGTCACAGAGGCCACAGGACTGGCCATCATCACCATGCTTCCGAAATTACCGAGCCCTCATTTTCAGAGCAAGTCTTTTTAATTTGCCAAAGTGGCAAACTGCAATTATTTTAAAAATGACATTCATTCCTGTATGACAACAGTTAATACTCTCTAAAAACAGTTCCTTAATTGCATGCATAATTTTAAATGACTGTAATTTGTTCAATATTCTGTGAAAACTGTTTTCTCCCTCATCAAAGACTTACAAAGACAAAACAAGAAGATAATGAAGGGACTCGAGATTCCAGAGCCAAGCTGTGTAAATCTCGGGATGGTGCAGATGTAGGTAACGCTGGAATTTTATAAAGCAAAGTAAAAATGAAAGTGCATTCCAAGGAAAGCAGACAGTCTAGAGAGGAAAGGCTTTTAATCCACAATCTTGAAAACCCATGTTCAAGAGAGTGATGATACTTCCCATCACTCTTCTCCATACTTACAGCCCGTGTAAGTTAACGTCTGCACCAATGAATTCATTAAAGTATGGAGGACAGACACTGCCAGCTTATTGCTTCTGTTTTTATAATTTATTAATTCTATAGATAAGCCAAAAGCTATACTGCTATAGTGAGAAAGATGACTAATGTTATAGTAACCTCAACTTGATTTCTTTTTTTTTTTTTGGGTTTGGTTTTTTGAGACAGGGTTTCTCTGTGTAGCCCTGGCTGTCCTGGAACTCACTCTGTAGACCAGGCTAGCCTTGAACTCTCGAACTCAGAAATCCGCCTGCCTCTGCCTCCCAAGTGCTGGGACTAAAGGCATGCATCACCACCGCCCGGCTTCAACTTGATTTCTTATAAAAATCCACATGGAAAAATTTCACAACACAGCTACCTTTTCATGACGTCTAAATTTGGAGTCATCCACTTTGGGAAAAGCTCCATCTGGGATGCAAGGGTTACCTGGGACAAGGGACAACAGTGCGAATAGCTCTTGCAGTACAGAAATGGTTTCTTGCCCGTCTACTTAAGAAAACCTGCAGGCAAGGCTTAGTCAGGAAAGAAGCACTGAAGGCTAGGCACCTAAAGGGAGAGACCGTGTGCAGAGTCCTAAGGAGCACAGTTCTCCTGCAGTGTGAGGGACCCAGATAAGAGCAAAGCTAAGCTCCACAGCAGAGACTGGGAGGCCACTGGGACACAGGTAGCATTTTTAACCTTACAAACGCTATCTGTATTCACCTAGAAGGCAATAGACTCTCTTACTCCATACCAAGATCCTGCACTGGCCAGCAGGGCTCATCCTCCAGACTCACCCCCTGCTAGGTCCTCCCTGGTACCCACAATCCTTGGGCATGTGATAACCTCACTTTTCAAACTCAACAGGGACAGGGAAAAGGCAGAGCACCCCTAAGCAATGGAGAAGACTCCACAAGTCCACACTCCAGAGCTGAGGGAAGTGTTGAGGGTGATGTGCTCAACGGCAGGCATGCCAGGGTCCAGGACTTCTCCCTTGTCTCCATCTCTGGTGCATGGAGCCTCTTTCCTGAGGTGAAGTGAATGCCAGATGCCTGACAACTGAGTCAGACTTCCCCTCCTCTCACAGGACCATCGTGCTAAGCTTCCTTTGGGTTTCTGTGAGGGAGTGAGTACACCACTTCACAGTAGTTTTCAGCACTCAGTCCACTGGGAAAGAGCTCCAAAGTTTCCACAGCAGGGTGTGTCAGGAGCAGGGGCTGGGCACTTCTGTGTGGCCTTAACCAGAAAGACCTGGCCTATGGTACGATTTTGATTCTAAGACTGTGTTATGCAATCTGCAAATGGGGAAGGAAAATCTATCTGCAAAAGTACAGCAAGAATAGTATGACTGGAAAGTCAACTGATCACAGAACAAGAAGTTCTCGGCTTGGCACGTAACCAGTGGAACACTCCATTGCCAGAAGTATATGTTATACGGTCTGGGAACCCGCGCGCATATAGCTTCCTGTGACCCATCATTTTTGTATCCCCAATGCTTAATTTCACATGATCCAGGAAGAGTTGGGTTGCTATAGTAATTCAGGACACCAAAAATCCAGTTTCTCTGCAAAGCTCTCTGCCCTTTGGTTTCCTTTGTGAACCACCTCCCTATCACACCCTTTCTGCAATTGTCTCAATGGGCTCACACAAAGGCTCCATCTCCCCAGGTCTCCCTGCAGCAGCAAAGCAGGACCTCTAGGGGGAAGTGTGTGATACGAGGAGGGGAAGTCGGCACCAGGAGAACCTCTGCCCTTTCAGGAGCCATGGCTGGCAGGTCCCTGTGCGGAGGGCTACTCACCTTCACGTTGGGAGTATAGAGATTCCTGAGAGAGGCCAGGGCAGCAGACAGCCCCTCTGTGCTGTAACCGATCCACAGGGCCTGCAGATGGCTTGAGGAGACTCCAGTCTTCTTACTGAGGCCCTAAAAACAACCAAAGATCCTGTGAGTGTGGCATCCCAGCTGGGCGTCAGTTTGACAGTGAGTCTGTCTGGTACACTGCGGAGATACACTGTACAGAGAGTGACTATACAAAAGGACACCTCAGTTGGTGAGCTGTAATGGAAGGTCAGGAGATCACAGGCCCTGTCAACTATATGCACACAGGGAAAGAGGAGGAGGGAAGGGGGAGAGGGGAGAGGAAGAGGGGAGGGTGAGAGAGAGAGGGAACGTGTATATAAGGAGAAAGCTTCCTTTTGCAGAAGGACATCAGAGGAGTAATAAATCATAAAGTTAGAGAGAATCTGCTGGGTGGTGGTGGCGCACGCCTTTAATCCCAGCACTTGGGAGACAGAGGCAGGCGGATTTCTGAGTTCGAGGCCAGCCTGGTCTACAGAATGGGTTCCAGGACAGCCCGGGCTATACAGAGAAACCCTATCTCAAAAAACAAAAAACAAGGGGTTGGGGATTTAGCTCAGTGGTAGAGCACTTGCCTAGCTAGCACAAGGCTCTGGGTTCAGTCCTCAGCTCTGGGGAAAAAGAAAAAAAAAAAAACAGCAAAAAACAAAAAACAAAAAACAAACAAACAAACAAAAAAAGTTAGAGAGAATCACCATCCGTAAGTCCTAATGAATGAAGGGGTCTAGGCAGTGGCCAGTAAAGGTTGGTGGCATGCCAAAAGAAGATGCAAGCTCAGCACCGTGTCTGCTGATGTAAAATATTTTCACCACTGTAATCTTGGTAATTTCCAAGTAGAAAAAAACCAACCAACAAACAAATGTCCCTCAAACCCAATAGAGGCTCTAGACTAGCAGTTCTCAATCTGTGGGTTGCAACCCTTTGCAGGGCAGTGTGGAATGACCCTTGTACAGAGGTTGCCTAAGACCATCAGAAAATACAGATATTCATATTACAATTTACAACAGTAGCAAAATTACAGTTATGAAGTAGCAACGAAAATCACTTTATGGTTGGGGGTCACCACTCCATGACAAACTGTATTAAAGAGTCACAGGAGTATTAGGAAGGCTGAGAACCATTGCTCTAGTCAGGAAATCTAGGGGTAAGGGGTATATATCAAATGTCACTTTGAGAAACAAGGAGGCTGATACGTAAGGACATCGAGAGTGGATTGAGCTCTGGTTCTTTGATTTGTAATGCGCAATAGGGAATGGCTGCAGGGCTCACGGACTGTCTAAAATCTTTAAACCACAAAGCTCCCCACACTTCACCTTGAAAATGTGTGCCTTCAGGATGTGGTGGCCAAGCTCCATGGTCTGCTGGCGGTTCAGCTTGCTTTCCTGTCGAGAGAACATGAACGCCAGTAGAGCGTGTCCGTTCCTAGGACAAGAAATACAAAGGCTCATGACAAAAGATCCCATCCCTCCACACCACAGGCCCTCAGATGAGGACATCCCACTGTGCCCCTGAACTGTCATCTGTGGGAAGCAGCATGAATTCAGAGAACATTCAGGCTGCTAACTCTCTATAAAGAGGGCAAATGATGATTATTCTGCAGTCATTTGCAGGGCCTTTTCTGGTGTTCCCTATCTCTGTAGATGACCCTTGATGCCTGACTTCTCAGAAACATCACTGTCTGCTCATCACATACACTCTGTCACCACCTGGATTTTTTGCTCAAGCCTGTCACAAAAACTGCATGGCATTACGTCACAGTTATAATCACGATGTCTAGCAAGGTGCCCAATTCTAAGCAGATACACCGCGAAGAACTTACTGGATGAACATAGGGAAGGATGGGACACAATCCTCTGGCCTCAGCCCTCCTCCACCTCCATCTCACACTCCATCATCCCTAGTGGAGCATAACCTGCAGAAGACAGGCCTGGCCTTATGGGGGAAGGTAAGAAAAAGCAGCCTCTGCATAGCTACAGATCCCAAGGGGGTAGAGGCTAGAAGACTAGATGGAAGCCATGTATCTCAAACTCACACAGAACAGCCTGTCACTGCCTCCTAAGTACTGACTGGGGTTAAAGGCATCCCCCAGCTAGTTTGTACCAGGCTACAAAAATGAGTAGGTTTCTATATACTAGCAACAAACCTGCTAAGAGAGAAACCAGGAAAAACAATTCCATTCATGGTAAGGAGGTGAGAGCCCTCTGCAATGAAAATTAAAAGCCACTGAAGAAAGAGACTGAAGATACTAGAAAATGGGATGTCCTACATCTAAAGTCTGGCAGAATAACATTATTTAAATGGCCATATTATTGAAAATGATCTATATAGTCAATGCAAGATTCCCTATAAAATAGCATTCTTGACACAACTAGAAAAAGTAATCTTTAAGATTAATATGACAATACAAAAAATGTGGAAAATCCAAATATAATCCCAAGTAAAAAGAGCAATACTGGAGGCACAATATTTGGTTTTAATATATACTAAAGAGTCATAGTAACCAAAGTCAGGATGATATCGGAATAAATCCAGACATATAGACCACTGGACCAGACCAGAGTCCATAGGAATAAACACTGTGACTTCAGCCACCTGATTTGCCAAAAACATATGCTCAAGAAAAGGCAGATTCTTTAACAAAAGATACTGGAAAACATCCACATGGGTTTGTTTTGTTTTGTTTTAGAAAAATAAATGGAACTATATACATACTGTGCAAAATTTAATCCAAATGATTAGAAACCAATATAAGATCTGAAAATTTGAAACTTCTAAGAAAAACACTAAGATACCTACATAGGCAATGACTTTCTAAATCAGAGTCCAGTGTCTCTGGAAACAGCAGCAAGCAGCAAAGAGCAGATGAACAGGGCTGTGAGAGGAATGTCAGTGAAGCAAAGGAAAGCATCCCCTGTGTGAGAAGACGGCCTACAGCATGGGATCCTTGCCAGGTACTCATCCTGAGAGGATTAACATCCAGAACGTACCAAGAACTCAAAAACACTCACGCAAAAGAACAAGAAATCCAATCAGCAAATGTTCAGATGAACTGAGGAGACACTTCTCAAAAGAAGTATAAGCGGCCAGTAATATATATAAAAAAAAATGTTCATTTTTAGCCACTAGGGAAATTGAAATAAAAATATACTGAGAAACTATCTCCTGTCAGATGATGTTTATCATCAATGAAGCGAGGCTGCTGCTGCTTCGGTTTGCTTGGTATAACACTTTGCATGCATGAAAACTGCTGGGTTCAATCTCCACCGTGGCGGAAGAGATGGAGGGGCACACACCTGTGATCCTGAGACTCAGATGGTTAAGGAGGATCTGATATCAAGGTATTCTTGATATTTAATGTGTTTAAAGCCTGATGACCTAGGATACATGAAACCAAAACAACAACAATAATAGAACAATAAATGCTGGTCAAGAGGAGAACCCTTGCCAGGCAGTGGTGGCACACGCCTTTAATCCTCGCACTTGGGAGGCAGAGGCAGGCGGATTTCTGAGTTTGAGGCCAGCCTGGTCTACAGAGTGAGTTCCAGGACAGCCAGGGCTCCACAGAAAAACCCTGTCTCAAAAAAACAAAAACAAAAAACAAAAAACAAAAAAAAAGAGGGGAACCCTTACATATTTTTGAGGTTGTACAATGTAGGTTGTACGAGCCACCATACAAAGCAGTATGGGGGTTCCTCCAAAAATGAATTCCTGTGTATATATCTTTAAGAATCAAAGTCAACGTACAACAGAGATACCTTCCATCTGTGTTTCCACCACACCCTTTACAATAGCTAAGTTATGGAATGAATCAGCCTTCATGAGGTGCTAGTTAGATTATGAATGAAGAAGCATGGTACATAATATGTATAGTGGAATACTGTCCAGCCACAAAGAAGAATGAACTCATGTTATTTATGGGAAAGAAGCTGGAACTAGAGTTCATCATGTTAAGTAAGCCTGACTCAGAAGGACAAGTGTATCAGGCTTCTGTCATATCTAGAAGAAACCAGCATGAAACAGGGAGAAGGCCTCTTGGGGGAGGGGGTAATGAGAGGGAAAAATTGGGTAGTGGGAGGGCTTCCATATGATCGAAATACATTAAATATATATATGAAAGCATACAATGAAACTATTATTCTGTGTAATTTCTCAGTTACAGATGGCCCCACTGTGGACAACAAGCACAGACTTCAGTGGCCAGCCCAAGGGTTTCCAGGGCTTTCAGCAAAGCACATGGCTTCCCACCTGTCTGAAGTCCTATAGCTGTTTCTGAGCAGCCTCCACACTACCCTCCGAGGACCGGTCGTCTCCAGTCTGTTCATGCTCCACACGCTCCACTTCAGATCCAGAAACCAAACTAAGCTATTTCCTTCACCCACATGACCTTGTGAGTGTTATCATGCCCTGGCTGCTTACATGAGGAAATGGCCTCAACAGGTTAGATGATCTGTCCAAGATCGAATGGCTACTAACCAAGAGTGGGCAGTCTGCCAGACTCGAGAGCTTGGGCTTGGGGGAGAACAACAACCCTCACCTCTCTTTCAGGAGCTCTCAGCAACTGGAGGGGACACATATCGCCATATTGAAATTTAGTTAGTAAAACCCTGCAAAGAGGAGATGTGGCGAGAGAAACAGGAGGCAGCCCCAGCCTGAAACAGTTCAACTTTCCTTCCTTTGAATTTCCAGTTCCCTTTCCTTGTGGAATACAGTCTCAGTGACGTTCCCTACAAGACCCCAGTTTTCTGCATCATTAAACCCAAACAAACCACGACGTCCCTTCTCCTCTCTGTGCCTCCTTAAAACCCAGAAGAAGGGGTCTCCTGAGGAAGCAGGGCTAATTTCTAATAGCCTCCTCCAAACTCTCATTGCCTTTAACCTCTCTCAGTATCTCCAACCCCCTTCCCTGGAATCCTCCTCCACATCCCAAAGTGCAGACAGCTTTCTCCCTCCCCATGCCAAGCTCCCTCACCAAGTCACACCACACTTCAGTCACTGATATTCAGTCTACTGACTTCCCCAACCCTGCTCTTGGAGAGAGGTTCTCCACAGGCTCAAACTGCTCAAAAGGCAGCTCTGACTTGAAAAGACCTGATCCACAACTCCTATCTTCCTAATGCCAGCATGGTAGCCCAGAAGCCCTGTACCCTCCCACTCTGTCCCACACGCACTCTACTCCCCAGAACCTTCAAGAGCTCCCCAGAGGTAACAGCTAAGAGGTCTTCTCTAACGTATTCTTATGTTGGCTCTTCCCAGTCTTCCACACCCTGACAGAGCTCCAGTCAAACTAGATCTACTATTGTCAGAACACGCCCTGTGCTGCTTCTGATGCCTCTTCCTGTCTGTAGTAGCTTGTTCTTCCTATTAATATCCTATATCCTTTTCTTCCTCACATTAACTGCATGGAGAAAATAATGGAGACTGTTCTAGATCATGAGTTCTTGGGAAAGGCTAAGAAGGTGAGAAACCCAGGCTATGGTGGCCAGGGGAGTCTAGCATCTCGCTGATATTTAAAACTGTATCTCCTTTTTAGTTTGTTTATTTTGTTCTTGTTTTTCTAGACAGGGTTTCTCTGTGTAGACCAGGCTGGCCTCAAACTAGCAGAGATTCAACTGTGTCTGCTTCCCAAGTGCTGGGATTACAGGTGTGCACTTTAGTCTACCTGACTTGTATATCCCCGTTTAGAACTGTTTGCCATAATCTTTGAGGCACCCTTGCAAAATGAAAGACAGAAAATAGGTGAAGGAAAAGAACAAAGCCAAGGGCATGAATGTACTCAACTCCAAAACTTAACACAAAGCTCTAGTTACCAAAACAGCACAGTAGACGCATAAAAGCCCACAGACCGCTGGAACACAACAGTAATCTCACATTCTTACAGCCAACTGATTATCAACAAAAGTGATCCTAACATACAACCAAGAAAGAACTCGCAATTAAATAGAAGAGCGAAAAACCGGGCTGGAGAGATGGCTCAGCAGTTAAGAGCACTGTCTGCTCTTCGAGAGGTCCTGAGTTCAATTCTCAGCACCCACATGGTGGCTCACAATCATCTGTAACGGGATCTGATACCCTCTTCTGGGCAGATCGAGCACTCATACACACTAAGTAAATAAATCTTTTAAAAAAAAAGAGTATAAAACTGAATACATCTTTCACCACTTTAAAAAGAAACTGGCTCAAAAATAAAGACTTAACAATGTAAGACTAAGCTATGGAGTGGAAGGAAAAGAGGAAAGTCTTGACGGCGTTAGAATGAACACGGACTGCCCTGGAGAAGACCTCGAAAGTCAGAAACTAAAGCAAAGCAGACAAGAGGGCTGAAGAAAGAGAAGTCAGCGCAGGGGCAGCCTATGAAATGGGTACACTCACGAGACACTATCCTCAGGTCCTGGTGACTACTGTGTGTCTGTGGTTACTGTTCCTGGAGCAGCTACCACACTCAGATGTGCCTTGTATCGTATTGCCACCACTGGTCAAAATGCAGCAACGGTCAACGATGACTACAGTCCAGCTACTTCCTGCTCTAACACCAGCCGTCTACCCTGTGGGTCTCTAGATGTTCTTTGTCTCTACAAACCCAAACTGCAGCTGACCTTCCTCAAAAATGACCTCTCCTTATAATCCGGTGAGCAGTGTCATCGCTCACCCTTTGACACCTCTGGTGATCTGCTTTGAGTAGCCAACCTGCTGAGCTAAACCAGGTCTGAAAGATAACAAACCCTGAGTCCAGTGTCACCTAAGGAAACAGCCACATTACCGTGCTATACCCATCGTTACCGGTCAGGAGGGTGGTGGCCATGTGGCTCCCAGGTACTCACTGGCCGCTTCATTTCTAGACCCAATTATCTGACCTAGTGCCCACCAAAGTTCTGAGGAGACAACCCAGCAGCTTGCCAGGCCCATCACTACAGAATGAGGCAATCCTGATGCAGAGAAGAATTGCTCAAGAAAGCAAAGATGAAGGCTAGACAGAAAGAGGGCTTGAGAATGGCCGCAGCCAAAGGCCCTTGGAGCCTCTTAACCTCTCACCTATTTTGTACTAAGAGGCAGGCAATAGGCAAGCTTGTCTCCCCATCTTCCTGTTGTGTGAGTTGTAAGAACTGCATCCTGCCTGGCCTTGTCTGTGAGGAGTCAGCTAACTGGAGTATAGGACTCCTCTCTTATCCTCACACATTTGTTGCTATATGGTCAAGGGTAGTCAGGAAGTGGCAGGGGGTTAAGGATCCAAGACAGACACCCTCCCACCACCACCCCTCCCCTGGCTTGCTATTCCCTAAAGCAAAGACATGTTAGCCATGTATGGTCCTGCCATGCTGGTGGGAGGAGTCAGATCAATGAAAACAATTAGCAGAGGAACTAGCTCCCCGGCACCAGCCAGCTTCCCTTCTACCCAAATACACTGAAAGTGTCCTGCTGTTTCAGCAATCGAAGGAGGGAAGCTTTACAGAAAGGTGTGGATTATTTTCACTCTCTCCTGACCAAATATGGGAAATAAGACGCAACAAAACTGCATAGTACTTGGTACTCGAATCCCTGTGGGTGCTAACGGAAGCGTCTGCTGTACCTGGGCTCACACAGGAAGGCTGTGCTTTCGCCATCCGCTCTCCACACCAGCCACTCTCTGAAGGACGGGTGGCAGAACATGCGGGTTTTGTCTCTCCTCTTAATGAGGAAGCAAGAGAGGGCCTCCATCCTCTGCTGGAAGTCCTCCCAGCCCTGCTCCCCTTGGATGTGGCCGGCATTGATAGCCTGAAATATCTGCTCATCTGTCATGGGGTGGAGGGATGCGAGGGCCACGTTCAAAATGGGAAGGGCCCGGTCAAAGGCAGACTGGGTCATGAACTTCATGTTGCATTGCAGCAGATAGAGCTCGGACAGAGACACGGGCACCACCTTGTAGCTGGCACTCTTTATGACCAGGTGGCCCCGCTGGAAGAGGTCCAGTGTGAGCTTGAGGTACAGGTAGGAACCGAGGCTCCGCAGGACCAGATGGCTGCTGACTTTGCCGATGAGGGCAGCGTCGGCCTTGCCATTCAGGGAGATGTTGCTGAGGATGTCCTGGCTGCTGTGGACCCTGTGCTGGACGTATGCATGCAGGTCACTGTGAATGTCCTTGTTGTCTGGAAAGTCGTCTAAGGAAAGCTTGACAAATGGCAGCGCACTGATGATTTCCTGGGGGAAAACAAAATCTCGCAGTGTTAGTCCGCAGAGTTTCCCCTTTCCCTTTAAACCAGGCTCACTCGTTCTCTTTCAAGGAGGATTTTCGTGGATTATGGGGACTCGTTGCTTTGTATTAAAACACGTAATAGGATGAGGTACAGATAAAAAGCTTAAGTGAAAGAAATCCTGATGCGAGATAGGATCTTTCCCAAAGCCCCCACTGAGGACTCTGAGCCAAGTGAGCAGAGGGAGGGGCCCAAGGAGACAGCAGCAACCAGGCCACACCAACAAAGGGGCATCCAGACCCTGCAGGTGACCCGATACCCGTAATCCCTGAGCAGCTGCTTCTAGAACAAGGGTAAACACAAACCAACACTGCACATCTAAGAGCACAGCTAGACACTGAGATAAGAAGCGCCCTCTCTGCATCAGATACTGGGGCTGTGTAACCCTACCAGGAAACAGGAGACTTCCCGCTCTGCCTGTGTCCCTGGACAATAGGCAGCAAAATTCACTGAATTCTCCAGTACAGCATGCTCTCATTTTAAAAGAATTTTAAGCATTCTTTTTTTAAAAAAATTATTTTGTTTTGTCTGCATGTCTGTGTATCAAATGCATGCCTGGTACCCATGACAAAGGTGTTGGATGCCAGGGAAGCAGTTATGGTGGTTACGAGCCACCCAATGGGAGCCAAGAAGCAAACCCAAGTTCTACAAAAGAGTACCCCATGTTCTTAATCACCAAGCCATCTCTCCAGCCAGAAGTGAACTGCTGGCTGAATCTGGATTGCACAGGGTCACTGATGTTCATGCTCCTTTATTTCCAAGATAAGGTCTTAACCCCAAGAAACAATTTAACTTCTCACTAACATTTCTGAGGCTCATGCCACTTTTAAGGTAGTGATGGCAGGAAGAGGGCAGTGGACAGCCGCTTCCATTTTGCATGGCAGCTGATCTTAGCACCGGTCAGCACAGGAATACAGGAACCAGTTCGAGTTTTAGCCCAGCTGCTAGATGATGCTTAGTGAGAGAAACATGACCGAAAATGTATCACCCAAAGGATCATAAAGATAAGCATGACATTTAAATGTAGGCTTAATTGCAAGTTTTAATAAGAAAAAGAAATGAGCATGACCACCCAGTTCCATGAAACAAAACAACTCATCTCTATAACAAGTGGCCCCCAAACCTATAGATCTACTGTAGAACCAGTCATTGGCCACAAACCTCAACTGGCGCACACTCCACTACAGTAAGCCAGGCTTACACACTGCCATTTCAGAAGGACGGGGACAGCTCGCTACTGCTAGGATGCTTAGCTGACACTGTGAGAATCCCTGTGCCCACGGGACTCTCTGGACTACTTTTTCAAAGTCTTGATAATGGTTTTCAATTCAGTAGCCAAATGGGCTCTAACGCTAGGCCAGGAGCACTTGCCGCTATACACTTGGGATGTGGGAACTTGGAAAGAGAGGGGGGAAATATTTTGTCACCTGAAAATTTGCTCTCACAGTCACGATCAACTTCAGCCAGGTGGGGAATTTAGGAATAATTTTGGTAATAAATGAAGACAGCGTATCTCCGTAATCAGGCTTATGAAATTCAGCTTCATTCAAGCCGTCTATCAAGATGATGTATTCCTCTTCTGGAATTTTCTGCTCTAAAAGATGAAATAATTTTTCCAAATTAAGAAATTATACGTTTCTATAACATGGCACCACCCAGTGCATTTTAACACACAGCTTAAAGTGTTAGCAAAACCTAAAAAGGTTTACATATGGCAGGAGACATGTTTTCAACAAAGCATATTTTCTATTAAATTTATAATGAAAAAACAGAGCACTGAGCCAAAAGAAAACCAATTCTCACAAAACAGTTTTCAGAAACATATTGCATTACAGACATTAGCAGGATCTCAATCTTATACATAATAGAGTGAGTTCTTCATAAACCTGGGTAGCCTGCAGCCAAAATCACTGACACGCAGACCGCTTAAACCTGGAACCAGACAGACACCAGGCCCTTTGCTGGAACCCCTCAGCTGCCCAACTCCAAAATGGGACGACCCAGCACTCCCCACACTACCACCAAGGACCGTGTGGTCAGAATCTCTCGGTGGCGAAAGTGCTGCTTCACGGACACCCAGAGTCCTTCACACAGCAGCCTAAAGCTAGTTTTCTATTTACTAGCAACAGCTTTCTGCTCAGGGCACAGAGCAAGCACAACAGCCATTTCAAGCCCTCTTTCTAGCATCTTCTGCTAGAAGACGCTTTGTAGACGGATACCTCAAAAGGGAGCAAGGTAAGAGATGGGGACCTTATGGATGATCAATGATGTCACTGACAATCCTACCCGGGAAGGGGAAAACAAGGAAAAACTAAATGAAAACTCCAGGAAATGGTATTAGATTTAGATTTCAACCCGTCTAGTAAGGGCTTGGGGGAGGGGAGGGAGAAGAACATGTTGGAAGATTTCCAACAATGCAGTGGTTTCCTTGCGGCCTGGAGTGTAGACTCCTCAGTGTGTATTACCTACATGGATTACTGCTACGTGGGAGACCAGAATGTGCCTCCTTGAAATGTGGACAACTGTGACAGAGAAAACAAGGAAGAAGTTCAGGCAGCCCCCTGCCCACCCTTTTAGCTTACAGCCAGGATAAGGGAAGCAGAGTACAGGGTCCCAGCCACTGGAGAAGCGAAGAAGTCTGGGTATCAAAGCTTACGATCTACTCACAACTAGTGTTAATCTTCCCATGGATTCATCTTCCCAGTTTCCTGCCTCTGAAGGCCCAAGCTGTTTCCTGTTTCATTTTGACCTCTTACCATTCCTAAGTTACTGCCCTTTATTGAAGATCCTTCAGAAGGTGGAGTCTTAAAGCCCTGCTCTCAGTAACATCCATATCCATGAATGGTAGGTGTTAATAATCTCTCTTGGCTGTTATGCCTACCGTTTGCTCATTTCATAGACCAAGTATCAAACCTTTGTGGGACAGTAAGTCTACTCTTCCCCACAGTTACGAGGCTTCCTTAGAACTGCTCGGTTGTTGATTTCATCCACACCAGAGATACTGCATTGGAAACAATGCCTCAGAGGATGGATGTGGTGGGATCAGATGTGTATTGAGTCATCCACATCCCGTGCCTGCCACCCCAGGGCTAAGCTGACCACCCTTCTGAGGACCACTTGGGGCATCGGCCTTTACTGGGAAGCAGCCCCAAGGCTTCTGGTAGGTACCGTTTCTTAGGCTTGTAAGTGGCTCCAGGACGCCCCTCTTGAAAGCAGCCACGGGATCCTGCACACAGGAGCGGAGGCTCAGCATGCTCTGCAGCTGGGGCTCCTTGATCAGAAGGTCTCTGTAGGCAGCCAGCTGGTGGGACCGGCACAGCAGAGCTGCAATGCTGTGCACAAACTCAGGTACCAGACACGTGTAAGTGTTGTCAGCCTGGCAGTAATGGTAGGCCACCACCTATGGAGAAGCAGAGACATCAACCGCACCATCCCACCCTCTCCACAGCTCTTCCGTGAACTCAAACAGGAATGCAACTGAGCCTTCCTGAGACAGGACACCGACCGAGTGTCCATTCCCTAAGACTGAGTCGCTGACTAGCTTAACTGATATTTTTATTCTATTCTTCATTGGTGTAATTTGCTAAGTTCTCAGCAGACTATTAGTTGCAGGGATAAATCCATCTTGATTAACACAAAATTTAGGACGACTGTACTCTGTATTGAATGTAGATTAGTAAAAGTCATTTATAAAACCCAACGCCTAGTCTGGCTCAGAGCACTTCCAAGCAAGCCATGTGCCCAATGCTGCCATCTGCCCCGAATTTTCCTTCTCAAGAACAGCAGCATCCTGAGGGAACCCTCTGCTTATCCAAAAAAGCATAGGATCAAGTTGGCGGGTAGGAACCCAAGCTGTAAAGTTGCAGCTGCTGCTTCCTCCTGACAGAAGCTCTCACTCCCTCCCTTCATCCACACTTCTTCAGAGGGATGTTACAGAGACATTCAAAGGGACAGCGAAGCAATTGCCAGATATGTGCCTATTGCAGGGGCATGAGGAGAGAAAGGGAAGAGCTGCCGACAAGCAGCAAGGCTGAGGGGGTTCCCTCCGTTAGACAGACTGGCAGCGGCAGCAGGTTGTCTATTAGATATCTCTCCCATCTCTGCCCCAACAGTGCCAGTGACGGAGGCAGGCGGATTTCTGAGTTCAAGGCCAGCCTGGTCTACAGAGTGAGTTCCAGGACAGCCAGGGCTACACAGAGAAACCCTGTCTCGAAAAAAACCCAAAAAACTGTAATTCTGCTACTATGTGGAGATAGAGGTTTGCTAAAGGGGTCACAGGATGAGACCCAATGTCTTAGGGTAATTTAAAATCATATTTTTTTAGTTTTGACTACATCTACCATTAGACCTTAGGGAAATGCTCACTGCCCTTCAACGTCTACATAAACAGAAAACAGCAGAAACCTACATGAGGGCCCCAAACCCACGCAAATCATCATAATTTATCCAGTACATTGTGCATTGTCCTGCACAATGTTTTACGATAGCATCTTGGTAACCCAAAGCAGGCCACGGAATCCAACTGCAACCACAGGTAGTTTTTAAAAATCTGAATAAGGTTAATTTAAATCACAGGACACGCTATAGGGCATAGGCTAAAGACAATTCAGTCACACCTTTGCTTCTGTGACCTGTGTGGTTATGTGTTGCATGTGTGTTATAAGATGAGCCTCTTACTGTGGGTCACAATTACAATGTTTGAAAAACCACCCTACAAGTATAGCTTTGAGGCCAGCATCCTTCATCGCAGATGACCCCTTCAAGATCAGAGGACTGCTCTGAATCAGTCAGATGGGGACTCCCTGTGCCACAAGTAGCTGCCTTCTGGGGGCAGGTGGCAGTGGGAGAGGGCTGAGTGACAGATCATCAAGGCAAGAAATTCGACTGCTTTCATGCAGAAAGGTGGCCTATGAGCCAGTGTGGGACAGAGCAGAAGGAGGAGGAATTCAGAAAGATCCTTGATGATCATGCACTTAGAGACAACATCAGCCAAGGTTCCTTTACAACCTCCCGAGAAAGCTCTGACTGAGGGTGCAGAGGATGCACAGGACCCCGAGACCCAGGGAACAGGGTACAGGCAGAAGTGGTCTGGGCCAATCTGAAAGCTTCTCTTATCTCCAGCTTACACAGCAAATGAAAGGGTGTGTGCCAGTGCCCTCGGGTTGCAATGAGCACCTGAGTTCTCCTTCTGCCTTAAGGAACTCTGAGTTCGGTTCAGATGGACATAAACCCTCTGCTGCTGTCTTTAGGACTTATTCTCATTAAAGCCTTTTCTCTGGAGTGCTCAATCGTACTTTATCAAGAGCTGCACTACACTTCAGCACCAAGCACTTGTTTCTGTTTTAAAATCCCCTTTCAAACTCATTTTTTCAATGCCACACATGCAAATCTCTATCTGGAAGACCCCATGAGTTGAGAGCTGGTTACCTTAGAAGCGAGGTTTTTCACCGCATCCTCTCTTGGTCTCTGGCTGTCAGCAGTACCGGGCCCAGCAGGTGTTCGGGCCACACTGAGAGCGCTTGTGGAGGAACTTGGTGAAAGTAACGGAGTACCAGCAAGGTCCTTGGTGGGATCTGAGGCTGGAGAGAGCCACAGATTGGACATCAGCATGCGGTATAACAAGTGTGGAATATACTTCTGAATTAGTCCCAGACAAATCTGAATAGTAACGAGCTAGCATAACTCAAAATGAGGTCTGGAGTGAGCATACCAATTCCCACCTTATCTCCTCCCCTGGAGAGCTGCCTTCCTAGGTCACAACTTCTCTTCTGGTTTTTAAAAAAAAAAATGCTGGGCAGTGGTGGCACATACCTTTAATCCCAGTATAAGGCACAAGCAGGCAAATCTCTTGAGTTTGAGGCCAGCCTGTTCTACAGAGTGGGTTCCAGGATGGCCAGGACAGAGAAAAAAAAATAAAAAAAAAAAGAAAGAAATAAAACAAAAATCTCACATAACTCTCTTGTTCTTGTTTATATTTTAAGGTATCTTCTTTGTACTAAGTTCACTGCACATGAAAGAGTCAGGGAAGCCAGGAATGGTGGTATGTGCCTGGATCTCAGCACTTGGGATACGGGACAAGGCAAGAGGATCTCAAGTTCAAAAGTAGCCTGGATGTTACACAGTGAGAACTTTGTTCATAGTGAGAACTCAAATGTTTAGCTATTCTGTCTCCCATCTAAATTAGTCTTTCTATTTTTGGTAAAGCTAGCAGAGAAGAAAAGGCTATAGTAAACAGGATATAAAAGAATTCTGCATAGGATAAAGGGAGGAACTAAGAGCGTATGCACACACACACACACACACACAAACACACTAAAAAAGAAAGAAATACGCATTAAACTCTATCTGCCTTGTTTTTCCAGTAGTCTGAGCACTTGGTTTTAAGATCCAAATTTCCCCTGGCCACTTGATCAAAATACTCTGTATTAACGTAGCCTTGCATGCAAACCCCCTTTGTCGAAAGAGGGAGACAAGAATTCCACATCAGAAGGACAGAAGAAGGCTGCCATCAGCCCAGACTACAGCTAATACACGCCATAACAATGGAACAATGGGGGACCTCTCTCTCTCCCCTTCCACTCAAAAAAAAAAAAAAAAAAAAGCGCCAAAATGAAACATCCCATCCCTCTACTGTGATTAGAAGTATCCAGACAGTTCACATAACCTATGAACTTAGACCCAATATAGTAGCTAGAACAACTTACAGAAAACCGTTAATTCCTGTTTATCCAAACAGCAGTTCCCTCCATCTATCTTAATTTAATATAATAAGCCAGATGAGTATCAACCACGAACATACTTTTGGGTGACAAACTGGGGCTGCTGGACGCGATCTGTCTCATGCGGCTTCCATGACAGCTCAGCGCCACCAGCTTGGAAATGATGGCTGTCTTCCCAAATCCCACATTTCCCACGACCACTGCTCCTCTGTTCTCTGCCAGTTCTGTGTTCCTCAAGTTTTCTTCTATCTGGTGAAAGAGCCAATCTCTTCCCACAAACACAGAGTCAGTCGTGATGCTCGGCACTTCAAAGAGCAAGGGCTTCAACAAAATCTCCTGTGGTTTGTAGGGAGCAAATCGTGCTTCAAAACAAACACAAACAAACAAACAAACATCGTTAGGGAAGGTAGTATCATTTAGGATAAAAAGAAACATATATCCAACTCGGTTCTATAAATCTGTCTATAATACTTTATTCATTTTTGTTGTTGTTGTTCTCCCAAGTATCCCATTACAATGACTCCCCAGTCGTTTCACACTTCCAAGTTATTTTCAAACACACAGAGAAAGCAAAGCAAAAGTCCCAATCATGTCAGTCTGGTTTATCTGAAAGCACATGGAAGTCTGGTTTCTTCTGCTCCTGCTCAGATTAAATCCAAACACAGATTCCCAGATTTGAGAGCACAGCCCTATCCCGATGCAAGGGTGCCTTGCCCACAGGATACAGGTAGGGCATGTGACCACACAGCTATGCAGGACACGCAGCTATAGGATGTAGCCGATATGGTCTAAGGGACTGACAACAAGACAAAAATGCTCTGTGAGTGGCAACTATCTTATCACAGAATTATTTTTCCATTTCAGTAGTAATTTAATTTAATTACATGCTTTAAGTAAGAAACCCCAAGTCCTTAGAGCTGGCTCCCAGCAGACCCTTCAGATCTCATCATTTTTAAAGAACAGCACAAACACACCTCACATCACACTTGAGCACAGTTTGAACGCTGGTTACAGGACTTTCTGTGTTCAGCAGACAAGCCCCTCAACGCGACACGGGATGCCAGAATAAGTACCTTTAACTTCCGGTGCCCTACCTCCAGCTGTATTGTGCCAGGGCAATCGAATTGACGTCCGGAGAGGAGCATTTCTCTGTCCATCTAAATAACTCAAGTCTTCCAATTTGGTAGAACTTGTCGCTGCAATATGAAAGCAACACTGAGTGTAAGGCCACACCTAAAACTACTGTAAGTTATAAATTACTAAATTACTAAGCAGCTCAGCTCCACGTTCAACAAAATTTACCTTGGGATAATTATTTGTGCCAGCTCATGTTTCCGGCGTGACTGTTAACTTGAAAAATGGAAACAATTAAGACTACTCATTCTTAATGTTATGTTGATCTGGTTGCCAGGATTCACCATTATTCCTGGAAAGAAACTGACTTCACTATAATTTTTTTTAATGGAAAAAACAAACAAAAAAAAAACCTTTGACAATCAGTGTCTTGCAACAGCCCAGAACCCACTGCTAATACACGGACATTAAGCTAGTCTCTGCAGCTCTGGGAAGCTCTGTGCTGTTTGGAACTCCAGTCTTTCTAATTAAATAAGCAGATCCTGCATGTACAATTTCACAGCACTCAGAACATTAAAGGCTAGCTCTTGGCAATAAAAGTACAGAAGCTGTCTTTTTCTTCAAATGTGTGTGTGTGTGTATGTGTGTGTAAAATATATATGTGTGTGTGTATGAAATCAGGCGTGATGGTACACCTCTTTAATCCTAGCACTTGGAAGACAGAGACAGGTGGATCACCATGAATTCCAGGCCAGTCTGGTCTACATAGTGAGTTTCAGGCTAGGAAAGGCTACATATCGAGACCTTGTCTCAAAAACAAAACCAAACCAAAAAGAACCCAAAATATATGTCTATATAATAATTTATATTGATTACCATTAAATAATGATAATAAAATATATCATGCCATACATTATATAACATATTATATATAATATTATATATGTTACATATATATTTTAAATGTACTATCATGTTTATTTCTGACCAAGACAGTAAGGTTCACAGCATATAGGTATCTATTAAATAGCATTAGGGCCATTAATGGGTAAGCACAAAGAGTTAATTCCAGGAAAAGTTACATTCCAAAGGCTTAAGTCTTCTGAAGTCCCTAGGAGGACCAGGATCCAAGGTACAGCAGTCAAACTGGGCAACGAGACTCTGAAAACCCTCACAGGCTGTTAGCAGTACCAAGCTCCCTAGAGCAACAGCGTCTCTCCTGAACCCTTCATACCTCCTTCACCTTCCTGTTCACTTGCTTGTTATCCACAACACTCTTCATTCTTTCATTCGACAAGTACCAAAGGTTGAGGAGAGCCTCAGGCCTGCCCTCTTGCATAGCCTCCAAAAACAGCCAAGCAAGTGTTCTACCAACTGTCCCTCCCAGGCAGCAAGCAACTGTTTTTGCATCTTACTGGTGCTTATCCACTGCCTTATTACATGCTGTGCAGATTTAAGTTAAGTGTTCTGCTCATGGTCAGAGACCGTGTACATCTTCCACATTTGAAAGTTCAGCCAAGCTGGCATGTAGTAGTGTATGCCCGTGACCCTAGTGCTTAGGTGATAGAGATGGGTGAATGAGGACTTCAAGCAAGCATAGGATACCCAGACAATATGAGGTTAGCATGGATTTGCCTCAAGAAAACAATCAAGAGGATGAGGGGAGTAATTTCCTCAGGCAGGATTTTCAGATTGGCAGGTTAATCCAATGGCAGCCTCAAGCTCCCCTGCAGATCACAGACAGAGGGAAACTTCCTGCAGCGACTACAAAACCACCCCCAGCCCTCCAGGCTCCCTACAGAAACACAACTTGAAACTCAATCCTAGGTTCATGCCTGAGGCTTGGATTCCCAGCTCCTTTGGGGCTCAAGCAGAAGGCACCACCACAGCCAGAGTCCATAGCTCACTTCAGAGCCAGGGCTTTGGTTCTATGGGATACAAAGACCTCGGAGTTTCAAAAGGCTTGTTTCCCCTTTCCCTATCCTTTAGAGCATGGCATTCACTTTGTAATTTTCTGACAACTGAAAAGACTACACACACACACACACACACACACACACACACACGACTATAAAAGGCATTGACATCAAAGCACTGTTGGTGTTAGGGAGAGCCCTTATGTGTGTGACATGGATGTAGGAGATGAGATGATTCACTTCAAGAATCTCTGTTTTCAGATTTCCAGCCACCAGTGTCTATACCAGAGTCCTGGGCAGAGTAGCCTGAGCAATGGCCCTGCATATGGCTGATTCTACACTTAAACCATAGCCAAGAGCTGGCATGGAGCACACCCCGTGAATCCCAGCACTCAGGCAGCTGAGGCAAGGGGTCGTGAAATACTGTTAGACTCGAGCTACAAGGTGAGACTCTTTCAAACAATGAACAGACAAGATTAAGCTGAGGCAAAAGCTTCAGTATGCAGGGAGCACCAGCTGCAGTGAGCTCTACTTCTTAGGGCCACTTTTTTGAAGCCACCAGGACATCTGAGATGAAGAACAGTGAGGGAGGCCTCAGCTGCTCAGTCAGGAGCTCAGGAGGCACGAGCTCCAGCACTTCCCTCCAAGTGATGAAGCCATCCTGCACCCTTCTACAGATTCTCGGGTATTAGTAACAAGAGCCAGGCTTGTGTCAGTCTACACAATAAACATCTAAAATGCTAATACCATTCTGGGCCAAGAGAAATCAGAGGTTCAATAATTTCATACTGTAGAAAATCCACTGCTAACATCTCTGTGACCAGGCCATGTACATAGGCACCCATGCACGCACACGTCTGTGCAAGGAACTCATTTCAATGTACCGTAGAAAACTACTTAAGGGAGAACTTTCTCCTAAGCTAGGTAAAGAGTGGCATGTGCTGATGCCCTAACTTTTGGGCTAACCTACCCAAGGGAATGCCAGTAAGTCCTGGACAATCACCATTTAGTATTTCAAGAAAACTGGAACTCAGTTGGTTATTGTGTTTGTTGGTTTTCTGGAGAATTCCACATAGTGGTCTCTGATCCACTCAGAAATTGTTTCAAAAGATTAGACAAGTAGTTAAAAACAGAAAATCCCATGAGCTGGAGAGATGGCTCAGTGGTGAAGAACACTGGCTGCTCTTCCAAAGATCCAGGTTCCCACACAGCAGCTCACAACTGTCCGTAACTCCAGTTCCAAGGGCTCTCAAAGCCCTTTATGGCCTCCATGGACACTAGGCAGACACACATGGTGCACAGAACTACATGCAGGCAAAATACCAATACATACACACACACACACACACACACACACAAAAGTTTTTTTCAGTATAGTAAAACCTATTGACCAACTTCTAGACTAGCCAAGATACAATTTTAAATGCTTTGAGGCTTAATTTTTAGTGAAGAAAAAAATGTCCATGTCATTCCTTTTGATATAATAGGCAACACTTCAAATTAATCCAACTCTGAAAAACACCTTCACAATCTCTAATCCTAGCCAACTTAGTTTTAGTCTTTGATTTAAAAAAAAAAAAAAAAAGACAACTCCTTGTTCTCTACATTTCTCTTCAGGAGATTGAGCAACAGGAATGGCCGGTGATCTTGGAGACTACCTCTGTCCCTTCACCACAGGTCCAGGTCCCATATGGACAGCTATCATAGAGGCCTGGCATCAGCTGTCACTCTTTAGTCCATAGGCCAGCTTGCCTACCAAGTGGCGCTCTGTGTTGACATGAAAGATAACACGCAAGTACATTCACAAGATTTTACTACACGGCCCATCACATTTGATTTCGGTACTGACACTGAGTATTAGCTGTCTGCAGCCTGCCTCACATCTGCTGGCTAAGCAATGCTGAGTGCAGTTCACACAACTGGACAGTACTCTTTTCTACAACCTTGAAACATGCTGCTGTCCCTCGGCCGGAGGCGGGCGGTGAAGAATCTACCAGACTCTTCACTTGTTAACAGAAACACAAGAGAGGACAGCTGCCTATGTCTGCATCTGGTTTACAGTATATTTCAAGAGCAAAGCCATTAGGCCAAAGTCTGCTCCAACCCAGAGGTAAACCCCACTGTTCTAAGGAGATCTAGCTCAAGGGCACACACAGGTGATAACAGGTGAGCCCAGCAGAAACCAGACACTCTGCTGTTTAATCCAAATAGTTTCTGAAAACAGCAGCTCACCTCCTTTGTCGCTTTGCAAAGCTGGTGACAGGCAAAGCTTCTAGCAGGACACCCCCCCCCCCAACTGAGTACTTTTAACATGCTAAAAAGTTTCCTAATTTTAAAAAAGATTGATTACCCTACAATGATTGACTCAGTCACCATAATTAGGTAAGTACAGCCTAAAACATTTTGAGTACCACATATTATGCTCCAAGTCAGGGATGGGGATGGAAGGGTTGGGTGGAAAGGTGGGGTGGGGGCAGGGCAGCTTTGGGAAGAATCATCCATCTGTACACATAATGCTCTCCACTACTTCTCCCTGGCAGACAGGCCAAATCCCTCTTCTGGAACAAGGCACTCTGCTTCCTTTGAAAGTGAATTAAGAGTTGTACCTCACAACTTTTCCATTAAGGCCACTTATTTGCCAGCTGCTTCAGAGTTCCATCATAAAAAAACACCCAACAACAGGTAGAATGACCTAGCACATACTGAAGGAGCAGCATAAATTACAGAAAGATCTTTTTGATGTACAAAGAGTCAGCACGGTAGCGAGGGGGCCATTTTTTAAGCACTGGGCTGGTTACAAAGAATGACCTGAACGAGTACCTCTTCAGAATACAGCTCCGGAGCAGGCGCATAGACAGGAAGGACCTTCAAAATGCACAAGAGTGGGGCTGCCCCCCCCCTTCCATAACCTTGTTTAAAGGTGGGCCACAGGCCCGCCCAACTCTCAGCCCATGCTTCTGTGTGTGTGTGTGTGCGCGTGCGCACGAGCATGCACACATGGCTCTATACCTAGCTGCAGCAGCTTGCTCTCGCTCCCACGACTGCACATGCTTTCCCATTACAGCTAAATTTTACAGAAGCATTTGACCTCCCAGCTGTGACGGGCTTCAACTATACAAAACAAAGATTTAAAGTTGAATTAGAAATCCTTTGATCTGGTTATCAACTTCACTTTAAATTAATGCCCGCTATGTCAAGATACAGTAAGAAGTCGTAATTCACATACACTTAAAAGAAACACTAAGGGCAGAGTTATTGAACCCCCCCCCACATACACACACACACACACACACACACACACACACACACACACACAAAGAGCCAACATTACGAATCACAGATTTACAGCGGTACAGAGTAAAAGGACCACTAACAGACCGTGTGTGCTTACATTGAGTACACTGAGGCCTATGGGAAAGATCATACAGCTGGCTTGTGTTTGGATTAATCTTCTGGGTAAAGAAATGGAACCCAGGACCTGAGGGCTTCGGGAGAGCCATGGCCTTACCTGCGACTGAGTTGGGCCGTGGCATTATTAGCGAGCTGGAGCTCTGAGAATAAGGGACCGGACCATCTCCAGCCGAGGGTTCCGCCTTGGGCAGCACGCTCTCCGCAGACCCAGTAGTCTCCTCTTCTGCCACTGGGGAACAGTTATCTGCCCTTCGGTCGTGAAGCACTCCCTTCTGAACCCCTAACCTTAGGCTCCCGTCTCGGTTCCATTCCAGACTGGAGCCACTCCGGTCGTCATTTTCTGATGAACTTGTGATTGTGGCTGAAACGAGAGATCGAAATACTTTGGAAATACTTTGAAGGAGTCTAGGCACAGCTGGGACTGCTGAGAGTTACACACACACACACACACACACACACACACACACACTCACACCCCTCCCCAGCACCAATGGAAAGTTTTCTGGTCTACACAGATCTTTATCAAAGTATATTTCATACAATGTATTTTGGTAAAATTAAAAGAATGTTGCTTATCAGGGGAAATAAGCTGCTAAATCACTCTACAGGAAAGGGAACAAAAACTGATAGGAAGATAATGAAAAAGCCGTAAAATAGCTGAGATCTAACAGTGAGTCTATATGATTTGGAGATAATGAATCTCCCCTTTAACCAAGATGAATTGCTCATATCTCATTAAATTTCTCTGACTCCTTAAACACCCAACCCCACCACATATTTGCTGGGAAGAGATACAGGTAACACAAGCAGAGAAGATGCAGGATACGGAAACAAAGATGCAATTTAAAGTCCGAGGATCTGACCCTTGAAACTATCAACTGTAAGGCAGGTTCAGTGAGGTGCACGGAGATCAACTTGCCTCGTTTCATAACACACAGATGGAAAACTTGGTATGACCAGTTCAGGGAAAGGACCAGAACGGGAAGGTCTGCTCTGGTTTTAGAATTAAAATTTAACTTCTACGAAAGCAAACCAGAGCTGGGGGTGGGGGTGGGGGAACAGTAAAGAGAGGAAGAAAAAAAAAAAACCAACCTAAAAACATCTAGGCAAAAGCACAGAGGAGTATGGGAAAGTGAAGCCCAGTACTCACCCTACACAGCAGCTACAGGTAAACAGACGTTCCTAATTTTCAGACTGTCTAAGCAGTACTCAATGCCCTGTAATCACAGGTCACCTGGCCACTCGTACGGCCCCAACTGTTGACCTAATGTCCTTGAGGATAGAAACCATGTCCTTGAGGCTTGTGTCCTTGAGGATAGAAACCATGCCCACTAATGCTCCGCTTGGATCCCGGCAGCCCAGGCCTCTGTGCTGGATCCTGGCAAATGAGAGAGAGCCGGCCAGAGTGCACTCAGACCCAGCTGCCTGGAGGGAGAGCTATCTCCACACACTACGAAGAGCACACTGTATCCGCAACTGGTAATTAAGCCTGGAGAGAGTCTCGTATCTAGGACCAAAAGGACTGAATGGCTTAATTTTTGAAATGATCTTGAAGGTTTAATAGACAAATGATTTCCTTGCTGTGGCCGCACGCAGGACACCTTGCTGCAGCAGCCTGGATACACTGTTCTCTACTTTCTTCTTATATATAAGCCCTTTTGACATGTGGGAACCTTTGTAGTGTACCTACCTGAGGTTGACCAGCTCCATTTCTGGATAGTGCACTGTGGGGCGGGGCACGGTAAGTGCTCAGTTAATATTTGCTGAAAGAATGCATGCATGCATGCATGGATGCATGAATGAATGAATGAATGAATGAATGAATGAATGAGCAATTAATATTTCTGTTCCACTTGCAGCAGACACTGTATAGTGACCTCACTGTTACCTGCTCAGGACCACTGGCCTCAGGTCTATCCGAAAAAAGAAAGCCAGTATGAGTGGGGTCTGTTTCAACTTGTGGGAAACCAAGATTATGATTCCAACATTCCTGCATGTGCTGGCGGCAACACCCCATGCCTCCATCTTTCTGGCATCCAGCCAGCCTTCACTGTGTTTTGAAATGGCCAGTTTACATGTAAGCAGAGCAAGCATGGTGACTCTTCCCGTGGTGGCAAGGCGGCTGCGGATTTGCAGCAGCAGCTGACATTCACTGGAGGTCTGCTATGTGCCAGAGGCTGCTAATGCCTTACAGGAACGGTTTAACTTATTAATGAGTTTATTGTTTATTTATGGGAATTCATTATTAATAGTAACTCTGCTAATAAGTTAAAAGCATAAAAATGCAACCAGTCTCATAAAACAATTTGTTTTAAATCCAGTATTTGGAATTCTGAGTGCTTTTCCTGAGCCATCTTATAATGAGTTAAGTTTTCAAGGCTGCTCCAACATCTAAATGACAGTGAGATAAAAGGGGAATGGAAAGTCCAGACAGGAGGGTGGGGTGGGTGGTGCTGATGTGCTTGGTTGGTTTCACTGCCTTGGCTATTTTATTGGTGGCACTTGTCCTTTTTAAAAAAAAAAAAAAAAGAGCACATCTCAGGGTGATATCCCTCAATACCACGTGCTCTTCAATAAATACCTCAGCTCTGACTAAGACCCTAAGAGGAGGAAGAGGAACCTAGATCACCCCACTTCTTGTTACACGTGACAACACAGCAGACTTGCAGCCTTGGGGTTCTAAGAAGCAGCCGAGGACATCTGGAAGAGCCTGGCCTGGGCTCCTTGGTGGCAGAACAGGCTGAAGGCTTAATTCTCACAGAGAGGGACAGGGCTTTACGTGGTGTGCAGGATGTGATGGGTAAAAACCCTCAAGTCCTGGTGGTGAGAGAAAGAAAAGTGGATGAGAGAAGATGTCCCTGAGCCGTTGGAATTCTCCAGCAGAGAGTAGTCATTCTATTGCTTCTTATCTTGTGGTCCTATCTGTCATATCTGAGACTCTTAGAGTCTTAGGGAAATACTCTTCTGCTGAGCTACACCCTTAGCCCTGAGTTAGCCACTTGAGAGGGAGGCTAGAAAAGGTTGGGATTCAGCGGGAGACTGTGACGAGGAAAGGCAGTCCACGGGCCACATTCAGCAGGGCACTGAGAGCTGGTGTCCAGAGAGTCATGAAGCCCAGTGCGATGGCCGTACTGCACAAACCACAGGCAGTGGACTCTTAGCTCAGCTCAGCTACCACTAAGGAAGGCCCTGAAGCAAACCAGTGGGGCAAAGAAAGGCCAGCGATTCCATTCTCCTTGCACACAAGAAGCACACCTCATAGGACAGGTCCTGACTTCTAGAGAGAGAGAGAAAGCTGGCTCTCATGCAAAATATTCCAGGCTGACAGCAGCATAAACTCCTTTTTAGGTTATTAACATAGTTACTTTGGAGAATATGTGTGCATACACAGCCACACACACCTAGGACAATATCTTAAACATGAAGACTTTAAAAGAAAAAAAAGCCAACTCTCTACAGAATGGTTTGGAGAGACAGCTCAGTAGCTAAGAGCATTTGCTGCTCTTCCAGAGGATCTGAAGCGAGTGTCATTGCCATGGCCCCATCCAGCAGCTCATAACTGCCCGTAATTCCCACCTTCGAAGGATCTGATGCCTTCTGGCCTCTGTGAACACTGGCACATATGTGACATGTACACTGACATATACAGACTCAAAATAAAAAACAAAATGTTCAAGTTATTTCTAAATATTGTTTGACATCTCCCCCCCCCACACACACACACACAAGAAAAAGGATAATCTGAAATCATCTAAGCACTCACAATTCTACCATTTCCAGAATTCCATTGGCAGCTGGCAGAGATGGCAGCCTCTGTTGACAAAAGCCTGTCTTCATCACCCACCTTGTCTGAACCACTCTTCCACCATGGACATAGGCACATGGGCCCACGTTCCCTTAAGCTGTCAGGTTAGACTGTGCCCACAATGTGGTAAACAGAGCCCGGGGCTGCTCGCCACAGACTCGACGGACACTTCTCTCTCATTGTATATACTTTGAAACCTCCTGTACCCCAGGGACAGTTGTCTACCTTCCTCTGTAGTAACTGCACATTTAGCCATCTGCTCACTCATACATTCATCCAAAACACCTTCCTGAGATACTAAGGCACACACACAATGAGGATCCCCATGACAACCAGGAAGAGATGCCCAGGCCAGGAGCCCACCCCATCTCTACAAAGGCAGGGTCAGACTTAGAGAGGGCTAGTGGTACATCCAACACCAGCTCCCTTCTCTGTCCAAACAATGCATTTTCAAGACCTCCCTGGCTTGCCCAAGCTCAGGATGTGGGAGGGGCTGCATAGGTGGCTGAGGCTGCAGGAGGGTTTGCTGTCATCGGGTCATCCACTCAGTCACTAATGTAGTGGGTAAACGTAAAGGGAACTGTCCCTCCTTGGCTTTTCTTCAACCATCTTTGCCTTATCTCAGCTTCTATGTTGGAGGTACACTTAAAACTGAATCAGAAAAAACAATGTAGGTCCAGAGCCAAATGTCTCACTGTGGGTTTGAAAGAGAGTTAAGAAAGTTAGGCAGATTACAATGCAAAGCCATGCCTAGCCCATTGGCTAAGCTTTGGCTGCACATAGCAGTGGAATCCTCCTTGAGCTACAGAGGAAACACGGGGGCAGAGGAAGGGTGTGTATATATCGTGTGGACATACACCTAGAACAGTACCTTAAACACAAATGCTCTGGGATCCAACCAGGTCTCTCCACCCTTTGAGAACTAGCACTGTGGGTTCTCCAGGCACACGGCACGGGGATGTATGTCCATCTTACTCATGCAACCCTGTTTCTCTTTTCCCACTGGGAACTTAGCATCACTTTCTGACCACTCGAAAGCAAGGAAAACTGCAGGATCCTGACTCCTGTCTTCTCTCTGGTCTCATCTCCTTTGTCTGACTTGCACCCTCAAAGAAAACTCCTGGTTCACTACACATCTATGAACAAGCATTGCCTATCCCCTCAGGAGCAATTAAATAATGTGTATCCTTAAGAAATAACATGCCTACTACAGTGGTTGGCATGCCCGGCACAATAGGGCTAACTTACTTATGGTGTGCCAGGCTCTGCTCTAAGCCCTTGTCATACCTTAGCTCACTCACTTCCCACACCATCCTCACTGACAGGAAAGCCCCACAACTTCTGAAGTCTCACATGCCTCAGAATGCGGTTCTGATTCCACCACACAAAAATCTGGGACATGTACCCTGATGCATTGATAAAATATGTACATACACTGCTCTAGTTTATTTACTATAAAGCACATACCCAAAAATAAACATTGTAAATGAGAAATACTCTAAAAGAAAAATTACAGTTTTCTTTGAGCACCACATAGGCTGTCAGTCATTCTCCAC